TCAGAAAGTTTCTCAATGCATGGGCCTGAACGTTGTTGATTCTGAAACGATGGAACACAATGCGATTGTGTTCTGTATTGATATCATGGCCGTCTTCGCACGCGGCGTCTGTGCAAAGGCCGACGAGGTACCTCGGACAGATATGCAGGAACTGGCACTGTTGTAGACTGCAACCTATGGGGTTTAAGTACTCCTCGCAAATCGATAGGTATCTTGAGTCTAGATCTTGGGTATAGCCTTGTTTGGCGCCCATGATGGATAAAGAGGAAGGATCTCCGGTTCCGCTCGCATGGCTTCTTTCAGTTTGTGGAGCCCCCTCTCCGAAGGGCATCCTGGGAGGACTTTGGAAACAGGAACCTGACGATTCGAGTGGCACTTCTCCGGGAATGTCTCCAGAAACCTGCGTGAGTTCGAAACGGTAAAAATAAATTGAGCATATACCTTTCAATGGCATTTCAGTTACCTAAACTACAATTGGAAAGAATTCCCTTCTCGAACCTTGCATGCTAGCGAAGCCTTCCGTCTTACTCGGGGAATGGGCCGATCCATTCTTCACAGGAGTCGACTTCAAATCCAACCTCTCAACTTCCCTTAAAACGGGAGAAAGTGAGCATTAGAAGGGGGACTACGTGAGCACATAAGACAGGAAACTCCTGCGATAATGGTACAGTGAGGGACAAAACTGTATCAATGTTTGACAGTTGATGACTCATAACTCAAGCAGGAAGTGCTCAATTTAATTTAAATTTCAGTTAATCTTACTCCTTCTTCCTGGCTTTTGATTGGTGCTAGTCCCGTATGAACTGACCTCCTATTGGCTGAGCTGCAGCTGTTCAAAGCTAACCAGGTCATTGTCAAAGTTTTGTCCTTCACACTCAGGAATAGAGAAAAGCGAATTTAATAATACTCTGTTCATTGGCTTTCGGCCTTTAACACTACCAGTATCCTTCTAGACATCCTCTCGAACAAGTCAAAGCATATTTGGACGGAAATAGAGTCCAAATCGGTTGTGACCCGCCGCCACAAGTCGTGGATGCTGAATGGCTCATTTGCTAGCCGTCGCTTCAAGTGTTGCTTCAAGTGTTCTATTGGGTTGAGGTCTGGTGACTATTGCCAATTCTAGGAACTCGATTCTGTGAAACACCACTTCTCCCATTTCGAGCCGGTCTGTCTCAATTGCCAATATCGATTCTTCCTCGAGGATGCTTGAATGCACCTTGGCATCTATTCTTTCTTGTATTTGACATCCATATCCAACCCCCTTCATTCAGAGAAATCGGTAAATCGAGATGAAATATTCCTCTCAATTTTCGCGTTTCGATTTATTTTTCTCAAGAGAAAAATAAATCAACTGGATATTCGATTTATATCTCTCGCTTCCCGACCGTGCAGGGTCGCCTGAAAGGCGTTCGAAAAGCCGAGGAAGCCCCCCTTCCCTCCCCCCCATGAACCCTCGGGGCAATGCATTGACAGTCGAAGGATTCACACGCAACCGCTTGAGTGCATGGCCTCATCGCCACTTCACCTTCCCTCCGACCAGTGCGAGTAGCTCGTGCGTCTCGAAGGGATTCCCATGTAACAACCGCTTACTTCATTCTTCGAGTCCAGTTTCATACGGTGTTTGTACTCCATTTGGTGCGTTGGTGGTGCAACACATATCGCCAATATGAGATCCGACTGTTAACTATAGATATTTAACAGTCCTTTAAGAATACATGGATTCCTAAGGGAGAAAAATAGCTCCTTTCGCTATAAGCCCCGTTGTCTCCCCTAAATGAGGTTCGTGTATAAAAGCCATTATATTCCCACAATAGGACAAGCAAGGCAAATTTTGATGTGGCTGAAGATCATCACGAAATGTTCAATGCGGCAGAAGTGCATAATATACCTGACCTATACACGCAATTGTCCTCCATGTGATGCGTTTTTATCGCATCCAACATTTGATGCGATAAAGACGCATCACATACAGGACAGATTTTTTCGCGAGAAAAATGCATCGAACTGAGGCACTGAATTTTCTGTGTTGACTTCAGCATCCAGGAGTTGTGGCGGCAGGTCACAACCGATTGGGACCCTATTCCCCGTCAAAATATGCTTGGACTTGATCGAGAGGATGTCTAGAAGGCTACTGGTAATGTTAAAGGCCGATGTCGAATGCACAGAGTATTATTAAATTTCAATTTCTCTATGTCCGAGAGTTAGGGACAAAACTGTGTCAATAACATGGTTGGGTTTGAACATCTGTTGCTCAGTCAATAGGAGGCCAGTTGACGCGGGATTAGCGTCATTCAAAGGCCAGGAAGTAGGAGTAAAATTAACTGAAATTAAAGCTAAATTGAACACGCCATACTCGTGTTATGAGTCATCGACTGGGACTGTCTCAAGCACTGACAAGGTTTTGTCCCTCACTGCATCTCTCTAGGCCTAACTCTTATCTTCCATAAATCCAGGAATAAATATTTACAAAATTCTGTCTCGCTATTGTGAACCTCCATGAAAGGAAAAAGTTTAGCATCTAAAGCGCAGCAGTATTCGAAAGTTGCAGACTAATTTTCTTCGGCCTGACTTAATTTGGCATTTACGAGGTAAAGCTCATTCCTGTAACTATCTGAAAGATACCTATACATAGAACCAATAGAATACTCTTTTATGGTCTATGTAATGAATACAATAACTTTCCGCAGGGGAGCAACTTCGAACAGCGCACACATTAAAGTCACATATTCTTGGGGGGAATTTTCGATGAAGCTACTGAATCTGCTGCGTATTTCTTACGAATTATGCGCTGGTATGCATTCAGAAACATATATATGCATGTAAGTGCTTTATTGATGAGGTGCTTATCATCCTATTAGTACTGCGTCATGACTGTGAAAGGGGCCAGCCTGGAGGGCCAACATCTCAAGAAGTAGCCCGCAATGTGCCTGCTGACGAAGATCAATTCATTACACTGAGTGACACTATATTGGATTATATAGGATTGGATTGTCCTTTTCTTACTATATCCTATTACAGAACATGATACCCTCTGTTCAATGTGGACTTACCCTTAAGGAGAGTGGAACTTCATACGTATTCGAAGATCTGAACGGTTCCAGTGTTAAATGCCGACTCCAGATAGCGAAAATGAAGGAGGATATAGACGAAGTCTCACAGTCCGAGATTAGATAAGCCGTGCGTGAATGGGCTTCCACTGGTGTTCGTGCATTCCCTGCAGAAGACTTTTATTGCAGTTTCTTATGGTTATCTAGGTTTCTTATCCCGCTGACGAGAATGATGAGAATGAGAATTCGACCCAAGTATCATGTTAGATCCTGAAATGTCTCGGTATACCCAAATAATTGGCACGATCTTTGCTCCCACTGACGCGTGGATATCGTTGTGTTATGGTCAGTCGGGCTTCATGAATGCCTCAGTCCCATCGTATCCATGAATACATTTCCAAAGTAGCAATAGTTTTCTGTGTTGTCTAGAATCGATTTTCTTACGCAAGCAGTTCAATAAAGTTCAACAAAATTTTCAACATGTCCTCCAAGAGGCTTTGATCCTTCAATGATCATGGATGGGTGGCTTTTGAGTTTCCAATTATTGCGATATTTGATCAGAGATAATGTAATTGAAGCCCCAGGAGGGCATTAGACGATCAAAATGCATTCATTTTTTAGGTTCAGGAAAATATAGAAATCCCCTAAAAAGAAAGTTCAAAAGGCAACATTGGAAAGTTCCTGCCTGACTTGGAAATGGCCACGTCGCAAGACATCTGCAGTTCATTCTAAAAGAAACACTCCCACAATCCCCCATCAAAGTCCTGGGTGCTGCTTGTTGCCCATGAAGAATGAATTATGTAATTGAATGAAACGGAAAGAGGGCATTTGATGGATATGACGAATTTCGTTTGCGGAAGCGCTTGGTGCCACCACAATGGAGTATAAGATGTGGTTTGTTTCAAAGCCAACTTTGGCGAACTTTTCTCAACGTAAAAAAAATACATTCCACAAATACTCAGCTTCGAACTTCGTTTACGTCCACCTGGCAGGTTGATTTTGAACCAGGTTCAGGTTCCCTTTGACGTATTTATACTTTCGAATTTCCATGAAAAACTGAGTTCCTTTAGTGGGTATAACCCTTCTTTCCTCTTCCATCGTGCATAATGCTATGACAAGATCAAATAAATAGGAATACAGCTGAGAAGCTCTTCTGGTCCGTTTTGATGAATGAAGCATTCAATTGGAGGAACAAACTCTCTCCCAAACCCCTCTACCAAAGCTCCTGCTAGACAAAACTTCCTGTAATTTTTACAGGAAAATGAGGACAGTCGGAATTAGTCCATGCATATACAAGGTGTTCTGAAAGTTTATGACTCATAAAGATGAAGACGAGATTCATGGGAAATGTTTAACCACTGAGAATTGGTGAAAATATGTGGAAAAAGGTTTAATTGTAGATGTTTCATTGCTCTTTCTCTTCTTTGACCTTTGTAAGAATTATGACTTGGGGAAATGGGAGATAGCATCTGCTTGTAATGTGTGGATGTTTCGTTGTGGTCTCTTTACTGTGAACTTTGTAAATCGGCATAAAATGATGACACGGGAAAGCATTGTGCTAATTATTAGTTTTCTATATGTAGATATTTCGTTGACGTTTCTGTTCTGTGACCTATTTGAAAAGGTATGTATTATGAATAAAAACATTGTCTAACACAATCTGGAGGAGTACCCCATTTCGACCCATGTGTGGGGCGAAACGGGGTGTTTGACAACAACTTCTGGAATTGTTGGGCGGAAGAAACTGCCGCTGATTTCACAATGAAGTTGAATCCTATTCGTAGGTAAGAAATGAAAGATATCTAATACCAATCCGTTACGTGCTAGGCCAACTCCTTGGTACTAAATTTTGGCAATTTTCCTGAACTGCCCCGTTTTGCCCCACCTTCCTCTATATCTTTTTGATTTACCGATTTCTCTGAGTGCAGATTCATGCGGTTTCAGTTTCCTTCAAGTCGGAATGAAGCTATTAGCTAGAAGGTATATGGCATGCGATGCCACACTGCAGTGATTGTCGCGATTGCGAGCAATTTTTGCAAAGCCCTCATCGCCCCAGTTGGTACCCCAATAATTTTTCACCAGCCAATATTCGATCCCAGTTTTCTCATCCACATCATATCCGACAAGAAGGAGTGCATGAGTCTGGACTTCACTGGAGCACTCCGAATCAAAATAAATGCCTGAAATAGAAATTACCAGGACATCCATTCAAAATCTCATGGATTTACCATGGATTCACATTGATCACCTAGATTTGACTTAGCGCTATATTTTTATTCGAGTTGGAAGAAAATTTTCGAATAGACTGAGGAGCTACATCCCTTGGTTCCAGACATTTATTTTTACTTGTAATCCAACTCCGAAGGAAAAACTTCATGGATATTATATTCATTAAGTTCTACATCCTTTTTTGCCCTGAATCAATATTTGAAGTTGTACAATCTAATTCAAATTTGATGTAGAGAGCTTTCTTCTAGATGCAATATTAATGCAATGGAAAGCAGAAGAAATGCCGTTTGGACATAATTCAAGTTAGTGTCCTGGAAATTTGTGATTGAGTTGTGCTGACACCGCACCCTTCCAAGAGGGCTTATACACGATACGGAAATCTGCTGAATACATGGGGTTCTACTCACCATCTCTATATAATTGGAAGGACTTGGACGAGCCATCGATAGCAATGGCGATGGGACCAATAGTAGCTACAGCTTTCTTGAGCGCTTCCTCATCCCCTCTCGGCAAGACGAATTGATATCCCATCACAGTTGCTACAGGTGCTGGATATTCATAGCGACACTCTGCTTCCTGTAAAAGAAGAAACGCTCAAGCTTTTCTCTGATGCATACCTGGATATCTATTTCCATCAAATTCTAACCACATATCCCATAATCAAATGCTATATTCTGTTAAATTTTATTTTGAAACTGTTCAATTCAAACCGAAGTTTCTTGCGATTCACCGGAACTTACAATGTAAAAAAATACGGTCACTCACATCAATTCCATTACAAACGACATACAGGGTGTCCCATAAGTCTGGAACCATAGTGTAAAATAAGTGATTCAAGATTTTTGCTGCACAGATTGCTCCATCACTCCTGACATCATTCGAAGTGCGATTGCTGACTGGATACCTCGTCTGCCTTTGTGTTTCAGTCATAAAGTTGGACACATCGAACACATTCTGTGAATACATGTCGTTATCATCATTTTGCCCTGTGGTTCCAGACTTATGGGACTCCCTGTCTATATTACGCAGTTATGTATTACGAATGATCTAGTCAATAAGGGAAGGAAATATGACTATGTACATGTGTTTTTTTTAATCTACAGACATTTTTGATACGAAATAAGTTTTCATTATAGTAAATTTCAGGCTTTTTCCGAATTGTTTCCTCAGGAGCTATGACGCCTAAAGAGAATCGAAGCGCTAATCGAAGTGTACGGGAACTTTTGCACAACCCTGTATTCAATACATGTACATTCAGGTGCAAGTCAAGAAACGTGATTATAGATTTCCTTGGATATGAATATTCAATTATAAAAATACCATAATGTACAAAATGCTTAATTCAATCACCAGGATATAGACTATCAGACTGTTTCACTGGTGCTTTTGGGATTTCCCTATAAACCCAAACTAACTTCGGGGAAGAATGGATGAAGACAGATCAAGCGAGCCGGATTCCTTTTATGTTTTGGCGGGAAGTGCAAGAAAGTCAATCTCTATTGAGGAATGATGGGTCAGTTGAGTTAGAAAATAATTGCGGTTGAAGATCGCGACCTATTTCGATCCCTTAGCCGACGTCCACCGTCTGTCTGTCTGTCTGTCTGTCTGTCCGTCCGTCGTATCCGCTGGTCGAGTCGGTTCAATAGAGGTGATCCTCATCCCGTGCATGGCTCATATTAATACTTTATCCAATGTCCGGGTGTTCGAATTCTCCATTACTTGTTTCACTTTTATGCAACGCAACTCTTTGAGAATGTGCATACGTCCAGTTTAGGGTTCACTGATGACGTAACACATTCCATATTTTTGATCCACATCACGGCACTTTGAAATTCGTACATTATCCCTTTACTGATTGTATTTTCTTCTGCTGAAAGTTAAAAATTAACAATGAGTTCTTCGTGTCTGTGGACACTTTTTTACCCAAGAAGCGGATACCTCGGGACGAGGGTTTTGTCCAGTACTAGTATTTTAATCATGGAAAACAACGGCACATATATGCACTATTATTTTTTCATTATGCATCATTCATTCCCTTTTACTTTCATCCATTGCACACTTGTATACACCCATGTAAGCTAATACAGTCCCTGTAAAGTGCGAAAGGGATACTTGGAAACCGACCTTTCCTTCGTATGGGTATCTCTCCTCCGTCTCTACCCCACCGTTTTCTTTAATGTACTTGAAAGCCGCGTCTATCAATCCACCCTTGCAACCTTCATTTCCATGATCCCTGGAGCAGTCAATAAGGTTCTGTTCACTGAGAGAAATAAGGTTTCCAGTCCTTAGGAAATTCTATCCCTGCAGTGTTCCAATCTTCCAAAGAAAAAGAGAGTCAGGAATTGAGGTAATGGACGTCAAAAGAACTTCATATTCGAGTGGAATATGAATGAAATCTCCACTTGAAAAAGTTTAACCTGAACAGGAGTGTTAATGGGACAACTCACAATACTCTATTTTAAGCTGAACACGCACGCGCACGCATGCATGTATACAAATCACAAAGCGGATCAGTGTAATGAAACGCAATGAACGTTTGCGCTAAAATGGTGGCATTGGAAAATTGTTTCATTTATTTAAAACTAAATTAGGTAATCACGTACAACTCATAGTAACTATTTGAATGCAATTTTTTCTTTTGGGATTCGTCTCTCCAATGAACATTTTTAAACCGCGCATGGGTTCAATGGGTTCAATTGAAAAACTTCCAATTGTAAATGTTGACCACATGTAGTTACCAGGTTGAAGAAACGCATAACTTTACTACACGAGAACTATCAGATAACGCCTACTTTGTCAAGGGATGAGAACCGACAATCCTAATGATGAACTTCTTTCGTACACAAAAAAACAAGGGAAATGCTTTGAATTTGGAATTTCATAAAATGATTAAATACACGAACGCTTATAAATAAATGTGTCAGACACCTCCCCCAGACATTCGCCAATATTTTTCCTTGAGTACCAAAATGCACGTCTGATGTATTCTTGAGAAATGTCCTGCTTTCTTGAGGTATTCAAAGATGTATGACCCAATGATGTTAACAGCGTCCAATGGGTTAAATTCTCTAGTTAAATTTGTTGCAGTTCCCAGCGGTGTTAAGAAGCACATCCACGTTGATATTAACGTATCTTGATACGGATAAACAAGGCACTACTGGCAAGTGGGCGTTCTTTACGAAATAAAGGAAGCTGCTATATTTGTAAAGCTGAGTTTTCAATTGCCCATGTAGATTGAGGCAAACGTATCTATGAGTCTTCAATATACTCTGCAGTGTGGTTTCTACATGGCAGATACCTCGTACACTTGTTTCACTTCCAACTTCATTTGGACCCCCAGGTAGACTTCATCGTCTGACGATAGCATCAATAGATGGCTTCCAAGCGCACCCTTTT